AAAAAACTCAATAAGATAACTTCTGCACAAAATGTGTGCTAAAGTGGCAATTAAAAAGCCACGTGTAGACAAGGTAATATTAGCATGAATGTAATCATTGCTGCCTTCAATGGATGCTAAATTGGCAATTCAGGAACTTCTTTATAACTGTGAAAACTGCAATGTGCTAGTGCATTCATCAACAAATTCTTAAGTTATTTGAGCACATATTCCTACCCCATGCAACTCTGGTGAAAAGCAGTTATAGCTCACTCTTGATGAGGTCTTCCACAGAGCTTGGGTAATTATCAATCAGATCCCTGGTATTAAAATAGTGTGTGCAATAGGTCAGCAAGCAGAATGAGAAAACTTAATGTAGAAACACAATAAAGTGCCACTTACTCACCTCCTTTGATTCAGCATTTTTTCACTCTCCTTCAGCTCTCGCTTCTGTTCCTCAACAGTCTACATCAAAGGTCCAATATCCAGAAATTAATTCCCAAAGTCATACTAATAACAGAAGCTTGATAACAAGCAACAACAGCAACAAATAACAGACACTTGCTGATATAGGTGCACATATATATATTTTTTTCTGGATCGGCAGGGCCAGGGCCATATATCAAATAATTGATGGGGTAATGGGGTTTCCAAGCTTGATAAACCCATAATGCAATTTATCAACATAACATGAAAATACAGAGAGACAGCACAAGAGTTTTAAATTACCATAGACTGAGTACTAATGGATCCTGCAACTGAATTCAAGAGCTGATGGCACTTCTCAAAGTGGTTGTTCAAGTCATTGATCTTTCCAAACCAAAGAAAAAAAAAATCAATAATCAGAAACAAAACAAACAAAGCTAAACCAAATTTCCTAACAAAAGTCTAATTTCTAATTTCCAATTTCAAGACAAAGCAGCCTACCCTCCAAAACCATAATCCAAATATCCAGAAAAGATGAACTCAAAAAGAAGCAGAGAAACGAACCAGAGCATCAACGTGCTGATCACGAGTTCCATTGTCAATAGCGTCGGCTAAATTCTCGACCAACTGCAGCAAAAAACACGTATCAAACTTTTTATCTTGCAATATATTGTGCCAATTTTAGGGTTTGGGTTTGGAGGGAGTACATGTAAGAGAGGGAAGTGAGAGGCTAGTGACTGGTGGTGTTGAGTCTGCTGGTGTTGCATTAGAAGACGCTGTTGCTGCTGCTGCTGTTGGTGAAATTGCTGCTGTTGCTGAAGATATAGATCCTGATTGGAGGGAGTAGAGGCGTTGCTGTGGGTTGGAACGCTTGCGATCATAGACCAGCTCCCTCCTCCAAAGTATGGATCCATTGTTATCCCTCCCTCCCTCCCTATCTTGTCGGTACACGATTCAAAAGAAGCACGACGGCGACGCCACCGGACTTCCAATCGCAGAGCGCTAATTTTCTGTTGTATGTCTTTGGGACTCCTCTGGATATTGAATTTAGGCGGGTTCGGCTTCGGTTCGTCTATCCACAAAGGCCGAAACCTATTCGAGTAATAAATAGATGATAGTTTAGTCCCTTAATTTTCTTAAATTTATAAATTTAGCCCTCAAAGTATATTCTTATTCCATATTAAATAAGGCCCATATTTTTGTCTGAAATTAGAAGATTAGAAGATTACTTTTTATCCCACAAATAAATTTGAGAATGCTTCCGACCATAAAAAATTAACTATTGATTTTGGGAAAGGAAATGGTGATGCAATCCACATCAAGTTGCACTAAATTTTTTTGATTAAATTTTATGATGAAAACAGAAAAAAAATCCTAAATTACAATTATCCTTAAGTTCAAATCTCTATAATAACTAATAACAAGTATACAATAAAACTCAATAACCCTATTAAGCCATCAAAAAATCAAAATAAAAAAAAGGGTCAAGATTTCATAAAACTTTGAAAAACCAACTTATAAATAAAACATTGTGACAAAGTACTAAAAAGCAAAAAATTTGTGAGTTGTCATGTAGCTGCTAGTTGCTGTCGAGTTTGATCTAAATGCTTGAAGAGATATCTTCCAGCAGCAGCCAGCAATATAAAGCTGAGAGCACCAACTGATAAAGGAAATGCTAGACCGAATGAATTTCTTTGGCGTTTAACTTCACTAGATTCAAACTGGTCAGACTTTGCCATCACTTGGGTCTTCATGAATGATGCATATGAATCTATTTCCTCTTTTGTTAATGCTGGTTTCAGTGACTCCTTCACTGTTTGGAAATGCCGATTACAGACAACGGTGGCAGATATGTTTTCCCTGAGAGCCACCATTCCAGCTTCCCTACACAAACCCTCCAGTTCAGCCCCTGTGAAGAGCTCAGTATCTTCGGCTAGTCTTCTCAAATCAACATCATCCTGAATTTTCATGTTACGTGTATGCACCCCTAGTATCTCATATCGAGCTTCCAAATCAGGTGGTGGCACATATAGTACCTACAACATTCAAGTGTTATTTCTGTTGTGGAACGTTTAGTCATATTTGTAATTTACATGTTTTCAGCACATGTCTAATGTAATATAGTAGGAGGCTACCAAATTAGAGAATCTAGGCTCCCCTAATCTTTCTATTTTCTACATTGTATTATGTCTTAGACCAGGATTTGGACAACTCTGTGTTTCTTCAAACAAGTTAATTGTTTCTCACATTTTGTTCAACCCTCTCACCTATCCCTTTCGATATTTTGCATTTTTCCTTATAAGCAAGAAAGGACACTAGAAACATATGCGATATGTTGCAATGGGTGTGAAAACAACAAAAATCTTAAGCCAGAAAGGTCATAGAATAGAGTTCTTTACCAGGTCAAATCGTCCAGGGCGCATGAGAGCGGCATCAATCGCATGGGGACGATTAGTTGCAGCCAGAACAAGAATCCTCTGAGAAAGAATTAAGCATGAAAAAAGAATTACACAAACACACTCTCTTTCTCTATAATAAATGACTTCTAATCACATCATAGTTGAAAGAAAAGTAAATGCCCTAAATGATTTCTGACGCAGGTCCTTTCAAGGAAAAAAACGCAAGCAAATGCATGAGATTAATACTTACCTTTGCCTCTTCCAAACCATCCATTTCTGTCAGCAAAGTAGAAAGAAGCCTCTCTCCAACTGTAGTACTGTTACTTGAATTACCACCACTGCCATTTAAGGAATGAAAAGGAGAACATAAGCTTCTACATTTGCTTGACATCTCTTATTATAACTTTGAATAAGAACAAAGTAATATATAACTTTGAACCAAGCATATTTAAAAAGAAAATAGTTAACAATAATACTGACTCACTAAGACCTTGACGATCATAGAAATGTGATGAATCTATGTTCAAGCTTAGGAAACTAACCGCTTCCCGGCTACAACATCGGCTTCATCAAAGAATATGATGCTTGGTGCTGCAAGACGTGCTCTCTGAAATGTATTACGCAGCAAAGCTTCACCCTCTCCAACATACATTGAATAAAGTTCTGCACCACTGTTCACAAAGTATATAAATCTGTTTCATTTTTGTTTGAAATCCTAACGAAATCCTCTATAATATATCCTTAAAACATTGACTAACTTATGCACTAACTATAAATCCTGAATTAATACTCTCTCAACTGTTTCATTTTACCAACAACAGCTCCACTGAGACCTTCTAGCACATACATAAACTAGGCTAGTTCCTGGATCTTATTGGGTTACATTTTTACATTTTCCTACCCATTTGATTCATAAACTGGATGGTCTTGTGGCTTCAAAGTGTCGGTAAGGAGTGGTGACTCTTAAAAGGAAACCCTACCTGTAGTCTTCCATAGATGCTAAAATCCTACCATAAACAAAAGACTATCTAACCTCAGGGAGAAAAAAGAGGCTTGGGCAGCATGAGCAGCAGCTTTAGCAAGAGTTGTTTTTGAGCATCCTGGAGGTCCATGCAGAAGAATTCCACGTATAGGTGATACCCCTAGCCTTGAAAAAGCAGCAGAATGCTTGATAGGCCACTCAACAGCTTGCTGGAGCTTTTTCTGTTAAGGAAAAAACAAATCATGGCTGAAATTTTAAAAATTTCAAACTAAATAAAATTGCAAAGTTACTGTCTTACAGACCTTCAAATCTCTCAACCCTCCTATATCTTCCCAAGATACCTTGGGGATTTCCACTGTTACACCTCTTGTTATGCTTGGGCCAACAACAGATTTAGCATGCTTCCAGTCTTCCATGGCTAAGCTAGGTGTGCCTGTGTTTTCACCTAGATCTGACAACCTTCTAACAGCAGACATGGTAGCTTCGTGACATAAAGCTTCCAAATCAGCCCCAACATATCCATTGCAAGATGCAGCTATACCTTGCAAGTCAACATTGGGATCCAAATTGACCTTCTTTGTGTAAAGCTGAACAACAACAAAAGTGAATGATCTTAAGGCTTGAACTCAAACCTACCTAACGAATTACAATCAAACAAAACAAGCAGTGCAGCTGTTTGATTTTACATACAATATTTAAGGGTTTAACCAGTAAACATCTGGATAGAAAATGAAAATGGTAATTTTTTGAAGTTTCTGGTTAACGCCCTCATGCAATCACCACAGGCAGGATCATAAATGCAAGGAAAAGACAATCTCACCTTAAGAATTTGAAAACGCTCTTCTTCATTAGGTGTGGTAACTTCAACCTCGGCATCAAAGCGCCCAGACCTTCTTAGTGCTGGGTCAATTGCATCCACCCTTCATGCAGAGATACCCCAGGTTAAAATCAGATTCACACTAAAGTCAGATATTTGTAGAGCCTGCCTGACACATTATTACTAATCTTACATCTGAATACTTTAGCAAATTAAGCAGGTGTATAGGAAACAGATCAATGAATGACAAATTTTACAAGTCCAAAGTATAAATAGCATGTGATTGGAAACATGGAAAGAAAATTACAAGCCACCCTTTTGAAATAGTGGGCGGCAAACATATAGTTAAAACATTATAACCAGGGCTCAGGCAGCTAACCAGACCAAACAACAAGCATTATATAACATGAGGAAATGATAATAGTTGACAATAGGGCAACAGCAAATAACCATAAACAAGCCTATTTTATAAATGGTTGTGAAATATTGAAATGTTACAAGTGACAGTCAGGATTTATAATGGCATACCGACTCAAATAACAATTACAAAAATCTCAAAATGCAGTAAAACTAAAATTTGAACAAAGAAGCCCCCAAAAACATTCTCAAATAGATTAATTTTTAAATAACTCATATAATAAACAGAACCTTGAAAGTTTGAAAGACATAATGACCTGTTTGTTGATGCAACGACTACCACTTGAGGTACAAATGTTGATGAGGGCTTATTTGAGTCCAAAAGAGTAAAGAGCTGAGACGCTAGACGAACATCCTGCTCCCGTCTGCATTTGAATCAAATGAAGTTCAGTGATGCTCCAATCTCCCTTGAGGGCAGAAAACCACTTAGATGTTTGCAAACACGGATATTATTACATCCCTACTACCCACAAACAAGGCAATAATAGATTAACAGTTTTTACCAATTCTAACTTAGTATACTGTTCTTTCACTATTGACAAATTTTTTTGCACTCTCAACAACATTCCAAGAGAAAACTGAATTGTAGTTCCTTTTATTAAAACAATAAGTTGAAGGCAGAACATTCTCTTAACCAATTTCCCATACTTAGAATCACGACGAGGGCAGAGTGCATCTATTTCATCAATAAAAATAACTGATGGCTTGTCAGACTTAGCATGAGTTGATGCCTCGGCAAAAGCCTCCCGCAAAATTTTCTCACTTTCTCCAGCATGTGCCCTGTGGACAGAATGTGGACTGCAGAACATACGCAAAAATATTAAATCCACTGCAGTTCATTTTACAAAGAGCCATACAATGATCAAATCTGATGAAATGAAAATACCTGATAACTATTAAATGTGCACCTGATTCACGAACAACTGCACGTACCAGGCTTGTCTAGCATTACATGCAAAACAAAGTCACTACTAAAATGAAATCCTTTTTCTACCATAGTATTTATTCTATTAATTGTTGATGTGAGCCAGATTAGACCAACTTCAGCACAACTAAGAGAAGAAAGAGAAAAGTCTTTCAATTTACAAATTTTCACAAGAAATAGATAGAATAAATTCATAAATAATCATATCAAAAACGCTAATTTTTACAATCAATAAGCTAGTAAATGTGCAAAATACTACCTTTCCCGTGCCCGGTGGACCATATAAAAGCAAACCGCGAGGCCACTGAAAACAAACCCAGAAATAGTTTCACATCAATATCAACATAAGAGCTATAAAATGAAAAGAAAATGGGTGATTTAAACAAGTTATATACTTTGAGGCCAAGCTTTTTGGCTTGTTGGGAGTAAAGAAGTGGGAAAATGATGAGTTCTCTCAGGGCTTGGAGAGCTTGGCCATTGCCACCAATTGCATCTTCTGCCCTCCAATGCTCCTCGCTTTTGTCATTGGCAATGCTGTTGCTGCTGCCACTGCTGCCACTGCTATTGGTTTCCATCTACTAAAGCTTGGGGTTTTTAGAAGTTCCTTTTTCAAGGTGATAATTACATTTAATAGCGAATAAGTAAATGAATAAAAAGATCATACCTTCCCTATGAATGAAAAAGTTCTAAATCTATTGTGTGTTGCCTTTGATTGATGGAGGGTATTCGTTAAATTCTTCAGAAATTTTTGTTTGTGGTGTTTCCGGAGGCGGCAGCAAGCAGTGATGATTGGGTTTGAGAGTAGCTGAGAGTTTGTCTGGAGGGGCTGGCTACATTTCTCAGTTTCAAGTTTCAACTACGCTTTTGGGATGGTGACTAGGGGATGTGGGTCTCCCGGAGCAACTGCTGGCGGCGTTTGCGCACGATGGAACACTGGAAGAAAACCGTTAGGTTTATGAGAAAAGGAAAAGAGAAGACGGTGCGCCGCCGACGGAAAGAAGAATAACGCAAGGGAAGGAAGGGAGGGAGGGAGAGAGGGCAAGGCGCCAAGACCAGAACGGTGAGGGCCAAATTACCTTATGAATTAGTCCTTATACTATGCCCATTGCAACATATTAATCCCTAGACTTTTTATTTTCTTAATCTTGGGACTTGGGTTATCCAACAGGGTAACTCCTGCCATCAACCCTCGAAGACAGCTTCAGTCTTTAGAGGTCCTCTGTAGCCCAAATGTCTGGCTTAACGAATCTCTTGCGCTCTAGTGATCATCCTTACGAGTTCTCTCTCTAAAGGCATGTTGGGTTACCATATTTACTTAAAAATGGAATTTGGAGTAATAGATGAAAAAGTAATTTTAATTGATCAATAAACGGCTTGGTTTGACTTAAGAAAACAAATTTTTTGTTACAAAAATCAAGATATAATATAATTAATTGTGAAAGAAAAAGTAATACATTGCTATTGTAATATAATTGATTATATTAAAAAATAAATAATTATACCAATATAATCATTTGTCCTTTTTTTTTTTAATCAATTACGTCCACTTTCTTGCAAGAAAACCTGAAGTGACAACATAATGCATTGCTTTTTCTTCTGTAACCAAATACGCCCTAAATTCCAGCTCAAATCAGGAGGAGCTGGGGAAAAGCAGAGAATCTCACTTTAAAGAAACAGCATATTTATCCGAAGCTGAGTTTTACTTGCAGAGTTTTACAGCCAAATGCTTTTACATTGCAAAACATGTTACAGTGAAGCAACAAAACTACAGTTTCTTTATTCGAACTACTTCCAACCGTTAAAAAGGTTGGTGGCCATATTGTCTGAATTGAGACACCACAAGATTGAAGAGAAAAAACAAGGGGAATCTGCATTTTAAGTTAAAGATCAAAATCCATCACTCACTTCTTGAGCAACATTGCACTGCATTGTGCCATTATTTTTGATGCCCTGGTAATGGAATCAGTCATATAGAAATTCTCAAGAGCAGGTTTGAATGGAGCCAAGCTCATCTTGTGAGTGAACTCAGGACTCAATGAAGGGCCAAATGCAGCTTGCTCTCTCTCATCCATGTTCACAAGATTTGGTGCAACTGTTCTCATCCTAGAACGGATGGCCCCAAGTGAATCATATGGCAGACGAATCCCTGCCACCTCAGACAGTGCTCGTATTATTTTCCAATCATCCCTAGCATCTCCAACAGTAGGGACTGCAGGGAATGTTTGTTGTGTACACCCTTCTGTATTTACATATGTCCCTTCCTTCTCACTATATGCAGATGATGGGAGAATGATATTGGCACGGTACACACTGCGGTCTCCATGGTGCCCCTGATAAACAACAAAGGCATCTTCAGGAATCTTGTCCAAGTTTACATCATCGGCACCCATTAGATACAAGAACTTTGCAGATTCTATGCCCTTGCCAGACACTGGCAGAAGTCCAAGGTCAAGGGCTGCAGCCTGGGCAGCGCTGAGAAGCAAAACATTGAATCCATTCCAGTCGGGTCTGATAACTTTTCCATACTTTGCAATGGCTTCAACAGCAGAGAAAATTGCATCCTTGTCCTTCCTCTCAAACAGCCCAGCACCAACAATGATGGCTGGGTTTCTGGAATTTAAGATGGCTGAACAGAAAGAATGGCGACCTTCAGCAATCTCAAGTAGTGTTTGAGGACCTGTCCCAAGGTGTTGGTAATCATAATTGAAGTCTGTTGGAGGACCAATATAACCAACCTTAGCATTTGTTGCTTTTACTGTCTTGCGGATTCTGGCATTTACCATTGCAGCTTCCACCCTTGGCTGACAAATTTGCCATGGAAATGGGAAGTTATTTAAACGATAACAGAACTGTTGCTAAAGAAATATAATTTTGTTGCCACCTTAACAAACATGCTGAATTCAAACAAGATAATGAAGGTAGTCAGGAAAAGAAAGAAGAGGGTTGGCAGTAGACAAGATTGATCAGCATAGAAGAAAACATCTAACGAAAGAACTTCAGACCAGTAACTCACAGTTATGGACAACGAAATAGACTAAACATAAGTTTTTTTGTTGAACAAAACAAAACATAACAAAAGAAAGCATATTAAGTTTTTTTTGGATTGACCAGCATATTAACTAAAGATGTAAAGCATTACCTGGGTACCAACTAAGAGGAACACATCTGTCTTCTCAAGACCAGAGATACCACTATTCACAAGATATCTATAACGTAGATCAGCATCAAGATTTCCAACGGTTGCTTCAGACCACACATTATTTGACCCCATGTTGTTTAAGAAATCTTTAAGTGCCATCATGGATTCTGCATCAGAAAGCTGTCCAGCGATGCCAACAATTTCATCTGGTTTAACCTGATGTGCTATTTCAGCAACAACAGCTAGAGCATCACGCCAGCTCACAACCTTAAAGCGTCCATCAGCACCACGAATCATTGGGTCATTTAGCCGCTGTCTCTTCAAACCATCATAACAAAAACGAGTCTTGTCGGATATCCATTCTTCATTTATGTCCTGTAAAAGGTCAAAGAAGCAGGAGGATGGATAAGTAAAATAATTACTCCAAAGATGTTTGTGGAACATAAATTCTAAACAAAACATCCTAATTGCTTAAATCATCACTTTCATAAGGTTATCCTCATAGACTAGCATAAATTTGCAACAATCACACAATGTATTATCTATGCCACTCATCACATATAATTACTGTGAGTACAAGAATCTAATGAATACCTCATTTAACCGCGGAATGATACGCATAACCTCTGGACCTCTGCTATCAATCCGTATGTTGGATCCAACTGCATCAGTAACGTCAATTGTTTCTGTTTCTTTCAACTCCCAGTTTCGGGCTTTAAAGGCAAATGGTTTCGAGGTAAGGGCTCCAACAGGGCAAATATCAATTACGTTTCCAGAAAGTTCACTTGCCATAAGCTTTTCAACATAAGTACCGATCTCTTCTCCGCTACCACGACCTAACATGCCAAGATCCTGAACCCCAGCAACTTCTGTTGCAAACCTAACACACCTGATGAACACTCACCAGAAAAGAGGGCTAGATGAGATTCAGCAGAAGCTTCTTTATGTTCATAGGAAGAAGATTAAGTTGCTTAGCATAATTGCCCATAAAATTGAATTCTCTTGTCAGAGATTCTGTTAAACATAAAAATGCTGCTATGACACTTCAACTGAGTTCTGAAGGTAACAGACAACTTGATCTAAGATTATATTAAGTAATAACTTGATCACAATTACAAATCAGACCATCTTGGTCATATGATTGAACAAGTGACATGGGTCACATGGCCAATCCATGCATTGACAGACTGAATTTCATACAGAAATAAGATTTTAACATAGTTAACATCCTCAGTATTATGTAGCCCCAAATGCACACACACTCTCAGATGATCATGGCATTCAGTTGCTCCCAATAAAATGAATGGGAAAAGAAAAAAAAAAAAATAGTATAATGATTCCACTTATCCACACAATGCACAGGATTAAATTTTTATGAATTTAACTAAAGAATAACAGAATCATTATATGATTGAAATCTGACCTTGTGCACTGGATGCACCTAGTCATCACAGTCTTTACCAAAGGACCAAGGTTCTTATCTACTACAGATCTCTTCATTTCAGTAAAACGGCCACGATCAGATCCGAATGCCATGGACTGATCCTGGAGATCACATTCTCCACCCTGATCACAAATTGGACAATCAAGTGGATGGTTCATCAGCAAAAATTCCATCACTCCTTCCCGTGCTTTCTTGGCCAATGGTGTATCCGTCTTAATCTTCATCCCTGATCATAACAAACAATAGTATAATTATAAATTTCTGAATGCAAATACAGGTGATTGATAAATAAAATAATAGCAAACAGAGAAACCATAAACTTGAATACCAGAATCACAGTTACAAAAT